CATATAATCTTGAACAAGCATCAGCGACTAGAAACCTGAAATTAGACTCAAGGGCCATAATGACAGCCGATCTTCAGCAGAAAACCCGACTCCTACAACTGAACTAAGTAAATACAAATCAGCAGCTTCCAAAGGCACGTGCTCACAAACACATGCTGCCAAACTGTGAGATGAGACCATGCATCCAAACAAGATTCCACTTGATCAATGATCCAGACTGACAATCTAGCAACCTAATACTATTTGGTTGAAATTTTAGTAAGGCACTTACTATTGTTCAACATAGGAGCCTACTATTATGACGCGCACTTATGAGGGTCAAGATTTTCAAAGCAGCAAATAGAAAATAAAACGTAAAAGTGACGCAAACAGAAAAACTTTTGCTTACATCGTAAATAAAGGTTTATGGCATGGCTCAAGAATCCACTCCCAGGGACTCCATTCAACAGAGAAGTAATTGGTATAAATGACATTGTGATCACATCAGGCTCCAACTGAACACTTTGTAACCATTCGTTATGGGATATATTTCTCATCTCACTTCCACCTCTCCTCTTGCAAATGATTAAAATGTCCTGCAATTAAAGTAACTTAGAATTGAAAATCAAAAGTGAAAAAGTAGGGGTTTATTTTTTTATTTATATATATCTGATAACCGACGAAGCCAGTTAGACAATCAACAAGGTTTAGTAACTATACGCACTTCCTTGTGTGAATAGGAACTTGATGGACTAGTATCTGCAAACCTTAACCGCTGCTCCCTGATTTCAAACTGAAAAACAAATGATCAGATAAGAAACTTTTTTGAACGGGAAAAAAAGGATATATAACTTATGCATTGAGTTAAGAAATTAGAATACAGTAGAAATAGAGAAAAGCAGACTTAGAGCAAATTCAAGAGAACAACTTTTTAACTTAATTCTTGTATTATCAGTACTAATAAGCAATTCAAAGTAAAATCTCACAAATTCCTGCCAAACTAGCTTGCCACCTATGCTGCAAACACCACAATTCTCATTGCCTAATGGTTCCATATAACATTTAATCATTGGTTGATTATACTCTCTTATAACAATGAAACTTTCATGATAAACATTCTTCACACAAAATGAAAACTTTAGGAAAATAAAAGAGTTTGCACGTCTTAATCTATTATGGATTCATCTGAAGCTTTTCTTTTCAAATCATTTGGATCAACTCACAAATTTTGGCACACTTAGTAAAGGATACATCCTTGGTATCCATACACCGTACACTTACTAGAAACTCTGAAATAGCAAGATTCATTATTACACTCACAACTACCTTCAAACACTTTTTATCCATTTTTTTAGAAACAGGTCATTACATTGACAACTACTTTCTCACCATAAACTAAAAAACAACTATTTTATTATCTAACAAAGTGGACAGGATTCCTTTTAAAGAATTAAGAACTAAAACTAATAATTATTTAGCAGTCCCAACTTAACGTAAGGAACCAGATTGTATGCTTACAATTCATTGGAACATTTTAAAGACTCAGCTATTAAATGAGATAAAATTAACCACCATACGAACCTTGCCATTCTTGTAACCTTGTTCCGAAGGCATACCATACTGACCATGGGCATCTAAAAACCTTTTATCTGCCATATCCTTTAGTTTTTTCTGTATATCAGCCGGTTGAAGAGTTGAAGAATGCTGCTGTTTCATGTATATAACATCTTTCCCACCCATCTTCACACCAACAACAATATGTGTTCCAAATCTCTCTATAAACCTAGAATAAACATAAAATATCAAAAAACACGTTCCAATTTCCAAAATTTTAATATAGTCAACATGGATATATATATATATATATCATAACTTGCCTCGCAGAAGACTCAATCCCATCTATTACTGCATTTTACTAATGCCATACAGATTATACCGATAAATGCATCAATGTGAAATTAATTATTTTGCTGGAGAACCATGACACCCAAGTATTGCAGGAATATGCATAAGCATGAAACATGCTTAAGGTCCTCTGAATTTAATGCAATTTATTTCAGGCAACAGAGTTTAAAAAAAAAAAGTATTCAACAATCAATTTCCCCTCTTCAACGGGATTCAAGACTAAGATCAGTTGATGAAACGAGAAGAATATGTCCCATGAAAAGGTGGAATAATGCAGGCAGAAGGGGAAGGCATACAAATGACAGATACAGAAAATTTCACAAATATAGAAACCTCACTTGGTACAGATTTAAAAGGTAAAGTAAATATATTGGACAAGCTTTGTGAAGCCTGATTCTTGCTTGTTTCTTTTCTTATTTCTTTCCCCTTTTGTAACTTCCACAATACAAGAAACATAGGCTCATGGCATAGGCAAACAACTAGCATATGAAGTACATTACAAAAACAAGCTTCCTATCAGAACTTAATAAAGGGTAGTTCTATCACACACCCATTTTTACTTTTCACACACCCCTCTCAATTTTCGGGCTTTGGATTGAATGAATTGAACATCAATGGCCAAAAATTAACAAGGGTGTGTGAGAGGTAAAAATAGGTGTGTGAACACACTTTCCTTAATTAGCTCTATATGAAGCTTCAAAGACGGAGCTTAGCATTAATGCTGTAATTTGACTAAAAACTCCAAAAACCTCTCACCTTGCTAATGCAGCAGGTTCCCACAATGATGGGACTGCTTTAATAACATTCTCGCACAGTACCATCTGAGATTTTTCCAGTGCAACAGTATAGAGAGTGATGAACACCCCATCAAAAGCAAGGGTCTTAGTGTTGGCTGCATCTTTCTGCCAACTACCTGAGAAATCAAACATAGAATTGAAGAGACCTGAGGGTATTTTTCCAGTCAACGATATTTCCTGATTGAACTGCTCTGACATCTGCAAGAGAGAGAACAAATTTAATTTCTCCTGTACCACCGCTTCGATGCTTAAAGTAAAATCACAGTTGCAAAACAAGATTCTACGAAAAGAACATATATTTTACTGAAAAGGCGGCCTCACTGCAACCCAATCCCCATAACCAAACAATATGATGCCTGGATTTTGCCATACGACATTTTCATTTTCGTCTCTTATTTTCTTGGGGATGGGAGGAGTGATAACACGCATTGAGCTATATCAATGTAGTGTTCATTTTCAAATTAGTTATATGTCTTTAATGATCAGGTAATCATAAAACACTTTATACGTAAAACATTTTTCGCTTGATGTCTTCCGATCCCAATGTGACTCTTATATGTCCTCCATTACTATTCTAGATTGCATCCAACCTCATAAATGTTTTAAAACAAGCCAAGCCGTGACAGCCGCACATTTGAACATTAGGTTTAGATTACAAAACTTCAAGAACGACATGCATACCACAAATTCAATCAATAAGAAAAACATGCGAGAATTGTGATTAAGAAAAACTGAAGATACCTGTTGGAAAGAGAGAACGTCGGACCTGAATCGTGTGCGCTCTCCTTTATCGCATTTAATCGATTTGGGAACATTCGGGATGGTAATCCCACCGGGAAGAACAATCTCGTGGCCTCCATCGTCATCGATTTCAATCAATCGAGCAGTGTGAGACTCCCCTTTACAGTACTTGAGCCTTAAATCAGTGGATATATCGTATCCACGCCCAATCGATGCAATTGCAATCTCAGCAGCTTCCGGAGCTGGAGCCTTAAGTGCCATCGCTCAGCACATCGCTCTCGTTCACCAAATCAAGATTAAATGTCTGCATTACATCCAAAAATTGAGTTTATACATAACAAAAAGTTCAAATTTAGAAATTATCTTTCTGCGGAGACCATAAATTCAGCTGAAAATATAGAAAAAATAGACAAATTTTACAGAGAAATCAGATCGAGGCTCAAGAACTAACCAAAAATTGACTTGAATTTGCGAATGTTGACGAGGATTCAATGCACTTTTTTTTGTGGAGCTGAAACGCCGGCGTTGTAGTCGGAATTCCCGCGAATTGCGCAATGCCAGTGCGAGATTCGGCTTGGATTGTGCAAAAACTTGGCTTGAATAGTGGACTGACTGGGTTTTCGAAAGAGAGAGAAACCCTAGTCACACAGGCAGAGAAGAGATAGAGAAAGAGATAAGTCAAATGAATGAGTGAAAAGCACGGGAGTGATGAGGGAGAGAGATTGTAAAATTAGGAGTTGTGGAGTTTGACCGAATTTGAAAGAATTTATTGACTCGTCGTCAATGACTACTGGGAACCAGAAAAACAGAAAGTAAAGTTTCTTACTGGCTTTTAACAAACAGTTTAAAGTCCGGTTTATTTTAACGAAAAATTATATTTTTATATTAAAAAATTAATTTAGTATTATTCATTTTACTTTTTATTTGGTTCTTATCCTTAAAATTTAAAGTTTTCAAATCATTTTTATTAGTGTTTTTTACTTTTTAAGAAAACTAACGAAAACGTCAAAAAGTTAAAAAAAAAATTAATTTTAATAAAAAATGACAAATAAAGATGTAATAAATAATATTAGGAAATAATTAAAATGTGGTTTTTCATTAAAAGTGAATAGTAACGAAAGTGTTTTGTTAAAACTTCATAGTTTTTATGGGTTCTACTAAGGTCGAGAAAGTTATGTTAGATTAGCTAATGACGGAGTTTAAATTTACATTGTCAATCGAACACTTTTGTATCACTGTGATAAAATGTCACTTGCAATTGCTCATGACATTTATGAGGAAGATAATTGTTATTGGCTCCTAGGACTAATACAGTTCTACATAGAATTAAACCTTAAACTCTTAATCCAATAGTCATATGTTTTCAGATTTAGGTGATTTTTTATAAACATGATATTTGAGGGAAGACAGTTCAGTTCATTGAAATACATTACGAAGTGATTCCCATAAAAATGTGAGTAAGAAATTATATAAAAAAAAAAAATGATGTCACAGATCTACCAACCGACCAACCTCCCAAAAAAATAAAAATATAAAATGGAACCATTTTTCAACAGCTCTACCCTACCTGCATTCGTTTCCAAATCTGATATGTTTCACTTTTTCATCTGCACTGCACTCCAAATACCAAATGGTCAAAAATCTACCGACCTGTATTAGTTTTCAACTTACATGGCCTCTCATCCACAACTTGTCTCCCTCCAGCTTCTTCTCACCTTTTACAGGCCCATCCTTTCTGCCTTCCATATTTCCATTCCTTTGTCTTTATATATACCTACTGCAAATTATCATCTTCCTCCTCACCTCCTCCTACCACTTGTCACTAGCTCCACTTTCAAACATACAAAAATGGGTGGATATTCGAAGATCAAAATCATGGGTGCTGGTAGTAGTAGTCGCTCCCGAAACTCAAGATCCATAGACTTCTCAGATCTCCAATCATTTTCCCAAACCCAGAAATCTACCCCAAAAAACCCTACCTCCTCAAAGATCCAAGAAGAAACCAATCTAAATCTGCAGCACATGAAGAAAAACAACCCCACTCATGATTCTTCTGAGGAAGATTGTCAGAACAAAGGCAATGGTGGAGAGAGGTTTGGCACTCATGTTATGCACAAGAGGAGTAGCTCAGTTTCTTCTTTTTCTTCTTCTGCTTCTGCTTCAGCAACTGGTTTAGGTTTAGGTTTAGGGTTTCAATCAGCATTGAAGGGAGCATTCTCATCCATGAGAAGATCTTCTTCTGTGTCAGAGAGGTATTGCAGGATCCATGACCAGTCTGCAACCACAGCTTTGACATCTTCCATTGATGGCAATGAGGAAGATGATGAAGATCATCAAGCAACAAGATCTACCAAGAAAAAACACAAGGGAGGAGGCAAGATCCTCAAAGTCTGTAAGCGCTTTTTTAGAATGTAGCTATTCTAGCTTGTAGATTATTATTATTGTTCAATGAGTGAAATGTATTTGTTTTTAAGAAAACTAATAAAAATTGTTTGAAAACTTTGAGTTTTAACTATAAAGGTAAAATAAAGGGTAAAGTGAATAGTATCATGATTGACTTTTTAATGTAAAAATGTGATTTTTCGTTAAAGTGAACAGTAGTTATACTTTTCATTAAATCTCTCTTTGTTTTTGGGTCTCAGAATGAAATTTAATTTAATATGTATTATGATACTTAAATGATCCGTCTTTTCGGCACACTGAAAAAAATTTCTCACACTGGTGCACTGAGCTCTGTATCTTATTTTTTGGTTGAGCAATGAGAATTGAGATCCTCTTAGTTTTTTGTTTGAGCTTTTGAGGAGGAAAAGTGGATTTTGGATGCTGCCATTATTGGACATTTAAAATCATATATCTCAACTAGTCTTTATCAATCAAAAACTAATGAAATTACTATTATACTATATAAAAGAATCGAAAGAAAATATTAGAAAAGAAAAAAATGTAAGCGTTAAAGTATTGCATAACCAAATTTGTCTTTTTTTTTCCTTCTGATTCGGGATTTTTCAATAACACCCGTCTTTGTCACATTAAACATCAATGTGTGAGAAATAAAAAAGGATGTGTTGATGTCACATCCTTGTAACAACAACATGATTCGGGATTTTTCAATGGCACCATTCTCTGTCACATTAAACTAAGAAAACGTTCTGATGATGCATCCATTACATGTGAGCCAAACGGTCGACTTTAGATGTTACAGAACACTGGGTCGCCTTAGCATGTGTATTTGAAAAGCAACTTTCATGGGAAAGGTTTACCGTCTTGTTACGTCTGGTTCAAGTTCTTTAATGCATTTTAATGTGAAGAACATTATTGGATCAAGACTCCACGTAACGATATACTCCTATCATATAAGTCTTTCTCGTGTGTTTGCAAGTTTTTGACTGAATCTAAGAAGAAAAACTTGTGAAGGAGCACCGTGACTGCAACTCACAAAAGGATAAGACCACCTGTGTTTTGGTCACGCCAGAAATCATGATGGTCTGATCTAAGACCTTTTCTAAAGGAGCTTAACGATGGCATGAGAGAGCAAGAGAATACCAAAGAAAAAAGCACAGGCCAAGATGAAAAAGAAAAAACACCTAGAAAACCTGAAGTGAATGATAGATATATACTGACAGTTAATCTTCTGTACACTTCTATACAGTAAAATACATTTCAAAGTCCCCAATGGAAGATGCCTTGTTTTAAACGTGGCGAAAATGATTCCAAATGCAACCTACCTACACATGTTATTGATTTGTGGTACTTTCAAATACACACAGATATGAAGAAAGTGCTCGGGGTTCAGTAAGTTATTTGCCACCCAAGAGAACGGTATCTCCAATTTCGGCTCAATACCTTGGATACGGACTAGTTTGATTTCAGCATCATCGTATTGGTTGCAAGACTTTGTATGTTCGCTTGACTTTTCTACTTCCTCTTTGGCTCCTATATCGCTCTTGATTGCATCTTCAGAGGAAACCTTTTGTTCATCCTCCTCACCTAACGTTGGTGATTCTTCAGGGATCAAGGATTTGTCAGGAAAATACTCTGGCAAAAGGCTCTTGATTGCATCATTTAGAGTGAAGCATCTACCTGTAACGCAAGATAGATGAACTCAGTCAAAACTTAAAAGATTGAACCCTAATATGATCAATCTGACATGCTCAGCGGTACCAATTTAATCAATAAATTGATGAGGCCACCAACACATTTACACCTGGAACTGATGTAAAATTAAGCATTCACTTGTGTGAGACATGACAACAGTTCCTGTTCGGGCATTCTGGTCATTAAGTACACCCACTTCCAGAGGCCAGGTTGGGAATCAAGACCCGGCTTTGTGTCAAGCATAAAACAAAAACAAAAATAGAAGGAGAGATTTGATGTCTGTCTGTCTGTCTGTTTAACATGCGCACATGCATGAACGTCTATGATTGAAGTCTGTCTCACTGTACTCAGATTTCATCCTCCCAAATCTAATAGACCATCAATTTCAACGAAATAATAAGCCACATGATTGACATTCTCTCTTTCAAATAAATAACAAATTCCGTTGAAGAACTAAGCAACCAAAATATAGGAACTATGTAGCTGCACTAGCCAGGAAGACTGGCAGAAAAGAGAGAATAGATTTCCTGCCTAGAGTTTTTTACTAGGAAATGTTTCTTATACCAAAAAGGTGCCAAGAAAACCATTCTTTCACACTTATTCAGACATCTTTTTTAAAACAGTGTAGGGGAAACGCTTAAATGAGAGCTTGATTGGTAAGAAATCAAGTGTCAGTTAAACCCTACCAGCTTACCCAGAACAGGCATGAAAACTAAGAATATGATGTGGAATCCAATTCCAAAACAAAACAGGTCATGGAGTACCTTGGAAAGAACTGCAGTCCATGCAGCTTCAGTACAAAACAATCCACAAGAAAGTAAACAAAAGGTGTTCTTTCCATCACTGACCATATTAATAGGCAGGCCAAGTCTATTTTCTATTAATTGAAAAAATCCTTGTTCATAAGTTTACTGCAAAATGTAAGGGGAAACGAAGCACATATTTCTGAGAAAGGTTTATGAGAAATAAGAAAGCTGCCTTACCTCCTTCTCCTCCTTGTATCTCAACAGGCCGGTTAATGTAAGAGACTTTGTCCCAACTATCAATCTGAGGTGCATCTTCTAAATCATCAAAATCCTCACCGACACTCCAAACATATAAACGAACTGGAACACGACCTAAGAAAGATCAATCATTTGAAATTTAATTACAACATTAATTGCGTATCTAAAAACCTTCACTTCAATTTCAAAAGTATGATGCTCTTTCAAAGTTTTTGTCATTCAATTTTAACCTGGGCTATTAGACAGAGAGATTTAGGTAAAGGGATACAACCTAAATATCCACTTTAAGTCCATACTTGATTAACACTACGCTATACACCCTTTTGCAGTTCTTTCTTATTACATATTGCAAGTCTGCAACTACTTCTAGGCAATTAGAAGCCAGAATTGCTCCAAAAACCCAAGACAATGTTTCAGTACTGTTCTTAGTCCCACATGATCAACTAAACTTGGTAGTGATGCAGGAGCATCTAGGGGGCCTTCAGGATCTAAGGGGCCTTTGGTTCTAGTTGGTTTTCTGTCATTGTTATTTCCTTGTCCTTATCTGTCTTTTTTGAATTTTAGTATTTTCGAGGGCTAAGATTAAATAGTTATCTGCAGTAACGCTAGTACAAATACTCTCTCAACAGGCTCTGTATGCAGTTTTTACCCTTTTTAGAAATTACAGACTAGAGAGTTTACCTTGGGTCTCATTGCCCTAGAACATAATGATCAACATTCCAACTTTGGTCCTATTTCCCTTTCTATTCATATGCTTGTTATTTGCTGGTTTTGCACTGCTGCAGCAACCAAACTACCCAAACGCTTCTGTCCTACATCAGTCTGCCTAATTACTTCAACCCTAGGTCCAGAAATCTCTCTAAAACCTTTAAAATTCCTAAAACTCCACAGTTTTTTTAACATTTTGCCATCAATCAACCTAAGGCGAAAAGTTTTAACAACCTCTTGCTATCTGAAATCTCAAAAGCTAGAATAGTAATACATAAAATTTTGACACAGGTCATCCCAAATAGAGACTGTACAGAAAGTAAGGAACTGATGATAGCAATGGAATTGAAGCAAGGCAGCACCTTCAAATAAGGAGTGGGTTGGAAGTAAGGTGTGGGCTTATAGTTCAAGTTAGGAAGATAATATGAAGTTGTAAAGAGATTTGGCTGGAAAATGTGAGCACACCAATCATGAAGACAAGCTAGAACATTAAATCTTCGCTCACCTGCCTTCACTTGTCCAGAAACATCAGTTTCGCCCATATTTGGTCTGGATTTTGGAGAGCATGAATTCTTTGCTGCCCATTCTTCCCCAACAGTTCCAAGCTTAAGTTTAGAAGATACCCGGAAGTAGGCTTCCAAATTACCTACAAAAAAAAGTTTGAGGAAGTGATTATGCTAAGACGGCTCATTCATAAAAGGCACATCCACAGCCATAAGTAGAAATCAGACAATTAAGACCTGAATCAGATGAAACAAAGGGAAAAGAAGGGAGGAACCATGCATAAGCTATATACAACCTTAAGAAACTATGTGCATGCACGAAGGTCTGAATGCAAGTCTTAGAATGTAAGCATCGACCCCAAAACCAATGGTGGACAGGTGGCAAGATCTATTACGCACGCATTGCAAGACTTCCATCTCCAATGTGGGATAGTCTCAACAAAATGATAGTGCTACGTAAACAGTAATTACCAAAGTTCGGTGACTAATGGTCAACATTCCACTCCAAAGATTATCACTATATAAAATGTTTAATTATAGGTAACATTTTTTACAAAAATTTATACAAATTTTCTTATACTTTCTCAAATATATGTAGATATAAAATATCTCGTAGATGGGTAATCACCTATATTTGTTCAACTTAACTAAAATGAACGAACCCAAAAAAATGTCACAATAACTCCAAATCATCAGCAATTAGCAGGTATACCATTTAAGACCGAACGCCAAAGCTCCACCTGATCTGGCTGAGACATGTTCATCACATTCTTACAGTTTCCATTTATTATATATGCAGCCTGCAGATTAAGTAAATGCCATTAAAAAGTAATTTAAGGACATCTACATTGTCATACAAGACTTTCCAATGAAAAATTGTAACTTCTCACTAGATTCCAAACTAAACAGTAAAATCAAACTGAGTCAAATACAATATATGGCAAGAAATAAACAGTTGTATAAATAGACAATATGAATCTAACAAAACAATCCCTGACCTCTTTCAAAGAATTGATAAAGCTCCACTTTACACTATCTTCACCATCACAAGGAATCAATATGTTCCCCGGATATCCTGTAAAATGCACCTGCACAAAGATACAAAATTGAGAGCTGATTCCCTGTAGCATCAGAAGAAAAGGAGGTGGTGCAAGACAATTTATAAAAAATAAAAAAGATCATCACAAAATATTGTTGCTTGATTCCTCGAAACTCCCCAAATCCACTTTGCAGACTCGGATGAGAATTTGGCGCCCCTGACCTTGGGAGGCAGAAGACTCCAGCAAATAGCTAGAGGAATCAACCCCAGACCACATGGGAACAAACAACAGGTATGACCACTCGATTACACCTCATTGGCAGACAATCCAAAAATATACAAAACTCCATTCAAGGTGTTGTGTACTGTGATGTAAATGAAATGACAATGAAATGCTAAATTTATGCGTCCACTCATCATAAAATTATTGTTAAACATATTACATGGTCCATCCAAACTTATCCTCTACAAACAAATGTATAGTTAGATGTATGTGAATCCTATAATTAGTTTATACCAATTAACCTGCTAGGCTGATAGCTAAACTAGTTTGTTTAAATTGAGTTATAACCTTTAGAAATTTACTGAGAGAAAAAATATTAGAGCATTACATATCGTATAAGTAACATCTAATCAGTCTAATTCAATTATTTGTGAAAAAATGGAGGATAACTATTACGTCATTGGTGGTAAGTAATGCTGGTTGAGGTAACAGCAAGGCGTGGCAGTGCTAGTTAGATGGTGGCAGGGATGGTGGTCACTGTAACACCAGTGGCAGAAACAGTGTAGCAATAGAAATGGTGGCAAATGGGGCAAGTTGAAGTGGTGGCAGGCAATGATAGTGGCAAAATGCAGTAGTGTAGCACCAGTAATGGTATTGAAATGTTGGGAGAAGATGATGAAAACCAAGTCTTACTGGGTTCGATTAGAATTGGCTAGGTCGCAAATTCATTCAAACGAGAATTCGGTTTTCCCACTACATTATGAAACTTTAAAACTGGTCCCACAAAACACACCTGGCCATTTTTTTGAGATTTCCCAAACTCCACCAAAACAAGAGAATAAATCTTGATGCCACATAGCAGCTTGATAAGTGTTTGTGACAATAATTTCTTGGGTGGTGCTATCCACACACCCATTTTTACCTCTCACACACCCCCCTCAATTTTCGACCATGAGATTGAATGAATTGAAGAAGATCAATTGACCAAAATTAACAAGGGTGTGTGGGAGGTAAAAGGGTGTGTGTATAACACTACCCTAATTTCTTATCTGCTTATCTGTAGTAAGTTAGTAACTCCAAAACATTCAGCCTTAGAATAAAATAAATAACTCCGTAATGTCCAAAATCATTTACCAAGGATAACTTCTGAAATACACTTATGCATGTATGTGGTTTCTGATAGCCAGCCATCTCCTATTTACATATAAGAGAACCAAACGCAGGTACGATTTCTGTTCATAATTCTGCATTTCTTTTTTGTGACTAATTTCCTCCTAAGTTTCTATAAAAGCTTCCAACGCGAAACTAATGGCAGCCTCATCAAATTTGAAACACGGGAATGAAAAAAGATACCCTGTTAAGAAAAAATATTTACCGTGAGATTCCAAGGTCTTTCTGGTTCTGCACATAGAAGATCAAATAGAACTCCTGTGGGTATATACCTGCAAGAAGCTCTTGCAATGTTATGAAACAAATAAAACTAACACGAACCTAACAACTTATGAAAGCATCGTGCGCTATTCATTCACTCTTTCCTCCCTCAGTCACTTCAAAACACGAACTTCTGGCACGCAAACCTTAAACAGGCATGCAAGATCATTTAAAGAACCAAAGGGGCAACAACAAACAATTAGAGAGAAACCAAAAATCTAGTGCCAATTAGACTGGCAGTCACTAAAATCAAAAATCAAATGGCATATCAATTATCAACACTTTGTTTCATATACGAAAACCATCACATTGAGCATTGTAGCAAAACCAAATTTTCGGGTATGGAAAAAGAGGAAATGGGTGCATACCATTTCAAGGGCAAGCCTTTGTACTCGAACCAAATGGCGTCTAAGCGAGGAGGAAGTGCAGAGCTGAAGTGAGGTTTTAGAACCGAGGCCAACAATGGCAGATACCCAATCCGAGGAGCTAAGATCTGAAATCAAACAAGTTACAGAGAGAGAGAGCAACAATCATAGTAAATTAGGAGGGTAATCGGAGGCATAAATGGAAATTTCAAAGAGAGAGAGAGAGATATATATATATATATATATGTATGTATACAGAGGTTTAGTACCAGGGCAGGTGGGGGAGCAGGAAGAGTGGCGACGTCGGATTCATGGAGATGAATCTGCAGAGGAATTGCTCCGCCCCATACAAACCTCTGTGCTTCCATATCCATATTCTTCTTTTCTTCCTTAGCACAATTCTCTCCCTCTCAAACGGTGTCGTTGTGCTTCCGCTTCCACACAGAGACTGAGTTTTACACCGGCGAGAATGCGAGGAGGAGGAGGGATGGAGGGAGGAGGAGTCCACAGCCCACTCGCTATGTCCTCTTTGCGCTGCGATCGTATGCTTCTCTCATACGTATAAAATGTTATCAAATTGTAAGCGTAAATCGAATTACGTAAGGAATTAATAAACCTTATTTATTACGTGGTTGTTCAATACGTAATTTGTTAGGCTATTTTTTATGTAAGTCTAAAGTTTATACAGATTGTTTTACCTCATTGACGGAAAATAATAATCTATGCATCATAATGCAGATTCAATTTTCACTAATTCTTATTTTCTGATCCATTAACGTTGTTGTTTGTCAAAAATAATAAATAAATAGACGCTTGAACGAGAAGAAAAAATATTTTATTTTCTCCTCCACTTAATCTATATTTTATTCCAAATGGAGTCTCATATTCCAATTTCAAATTAGACAAGTATAAGTTTTGATTCCATTTGGTATCATGTTTACTATAATTCCTTTTTACTTCTACTGCGATAACTTTGATATATGATTTTTTTTTCATTTAGAGCGTGGAGTTTTATACAAAAGGTATCGATGCAATTTGTATATGAACTATTTTTTTTATAGACGATTGGATCTTCTCCACTAAACGTCATTTTTACTCAAATAATAAAAATTCGAACTTGGATGTAAATAGGCGAGCATATTGCTCTAATCAACATGACTAAGCTCTAGTTTGTTGTAGTGAAACCATTCAATGTCAATGTACATAATTCGATCAAATTATATCATCATAAGAGCCGACCAACTTTTTCTACCAATAGATAGTCCTTTGTTGAAGCCCATAAAACACAAAATGTAACGAGCAATAAGATATAATAGACAAGCAAATAAGACGGATGGGTGAGAAATAAGACGGATGAGCATGGCAGCACTCAGAAAAACTAATACATCACTAGCTAGAATTGATAATCAGGAAGAAATTGAGTGAGCATATGTAATAGTTGAATTATATCCGAAATTTGTCCCTAATAAAACGGACCATATACAAAATGTTTGTGGGTAGGTGAGTGATGAAATATGTGTACGAAAGAAGGGACATTAGTGTTTCTGTTTCATGCAAGTCATTCTTATTCTCGTACAAAAACGAGAGATTTGGGGAGATCCATAGAATTTCATTCAGGAGAAACCTAACAAGAAGCTTCTCTCTCTCTCTCCGCTATTTTTGGATGATTCTTTTCATTCTTCAAAATTCTCTCCCCAATTCAATCTTCTTTCTCTTCCAACCGCGCCACCCCTCGTCCGTACAAAGTAGGCTCTAATTAAGCATAATGGGAAACAAAATTTGTGTACAAATTTTTAAATAATAAAAATAAAAACATTTTATTAATTTTATAATTCTTTTTCAAAGTCGGATTTTGATGTTTTGATTGATTAACGCCATCGTTGCAGATTCCGGGGACTTTCATGACGGCGATTCAACGTCCCTGAGGAAGAGGGGAGGGGGGCTGCAGTCGCAGACTCGCTGAATTGATTAGTTACATTATAATTTATGTGCAGTTCATACCACAATACGTACGTGACATATTTTGACATGAAAAATGGCCGGTGAAATTGGCGGTAGTTGTGGCGGTGAGAATGACGCGCCGTCCTCCCCCAAAAGCCGGATCAAGTTCTTGTGCAGCCATGGCGGCAGAATCCTACCCAGGCCTGCCGACGGCCAGCTCAAGTATGTTGGAGGGGAGACTCGCGTCATTGCATTGTCCCGCGGCATAACATACGCAGGTGCACATTTTGTTAGTCTATTTGTTTCTTTTTGAATTTTAGGTGAATGAGATTTGAACTCGGAACTTCATAACCGTACGAAATTTCTAATAACATATGTCTAAAGGTACATTACCTTACCTACGTTTCAGAGTTGATGGAAAAGCTGAGTACATTGTCTGATGGGGATATGGTGTTGAAATACCAGCCAGCCACGGAAGATCTCGATGCTTTGGTCTCTGTGAGAAACGACGAAGATCTCAAGCACATGCTCGACGAATATGATCGACAAGAGAGCGAAGGCAGCCCGAGGCCGAGAGCATTCTTGTTCCCGTCCAAGCCAATCATGATCGCGAGTCCAACCCCGCCGTTGGAACACCAGCTGGAGCAGCGTTACATTGACGCCATCAATGGAATCATCCGATCGCCACCAAAAATGCAGCCTCCACCGCTGCAGCAACAGCAGCAGATTGCTCCGGTTGCCCCAAAGGTCATCGCAAGTAGCCCCATGGGGAGCCTCGGCTTATATTCGGCATGTTCATCGCCCAAATCAGCATCTCAATCAGCATCCCCTGAACACCACGCGGTTGTCGCTGACACGAGCACGGCAGGTCACCGGTTCACGATTTCGCCTCCAGTGCATAGAGTGCACAGCTCTCCGAGTATTTGCAGTGCATACCAAGGCCATGTTCAAGGGCGTCACCAACACCCTAACTACCACCAAAACCACCACCACCACCACCAGGCGTACCAGTCTTCGTTTAGTGCAAGAGCACACCACCGAGGGATCAGGACTCCACCTCCTTTGACGTCGCCAGGTAGATCGGAGTCTGGGAGCACGAGGTGCTCGTTGATGGGGCCGAATATTTCTCCAGGTCAAGGCCAAAACCATATTCCTTCCAACTTATCTCCCAGTAGCAACAACAGTAGTCCTAGATCATCACTAAGACTTAGTGGTGGCGGAGGAGGACGAGGTCATGAAAGCCTCCCTCGAAGTCCTAGATAGATTGTGCTGGTTTGTTACTATTGGTATTGGTTTTCACTGCTAAATGCACATACGGTGCCTGTGCTTTTGCATTCAAATCAATCGACGCTTTAACCAATTTGCAAGGGCTCTAATCGCCGTACTGTTTCGGTATCGGTCTTCTTAAGTCCTCTAATTAAGTACAAGTATCTAGTCCTCTGTCATCTAAACAACATTGTTTCTCATTCTCCATAAAACAAAAATGACACAGTATCCCCAACACCACGATCCCAGCCCGGCAGAATCATTCTAATATACACATTTAATCTAAATAGTATAAGCAAGAAGGCTACTAACTCCTGTCCAACGGTCTTGCTCACTTGCTGTCGGTGAAATCTGCATCAATAACATCACCGTCGGGTCCCTTGCCGGATGATGAATCTGAAGACCCACCAGCTTCAGAACCGGGTGGAGTTGGCCCCGCACCAGCACCAGGAGTGCCGGGCTGGTTGTAAAGCGACTGGCCAAGCTGCATCACTTCCTGGTTAAGGGCAGCCATGGCATCTTTTATGGCCTGAGTTGAACCCCCTGAGACTGCATCCTTGAGCTCTCCAAGTTTTGCCTCGACCTTTCCTTTAACTTCAGCTGGAACCTTGTCTCCCAGCTCTTTCAGTTGCTTCTCTGTTTGGTAGATAACTGAGTCAGCCTGGTTCTTTGTGTCGATGGCGTCTCTCTTCTCCTTGTCTTCCTTTGCAAACTTCTCAGCTTCGCTAACCATCCTTTCCACCTGTACATTTGCAGGCATTTCTCTTAATATAATTCAAGACTTAAAAAAATGCAAACGAGTAGTTCCAAATCTAATATCACAAAGCTGACAATTTTAAAACTTGCTAGTTGACTAACCTCGTCACTTGGCAAGGTACTGGCACCAGTGATGGTGATGTCTTGCTTCTTCCCTGTGCCCTTGTCCACAGCAGCGACGGATAGAATACCATTGGCGTCAATGTCGAATTTGACTTCAATTTGAGGAACCCCTCGTGGTGCAGGGGGAATACCATCCAAACGGAAGCTCCCAAGAGACTTGTTATCCCTAACAAATTCTCTTTCTCCTTGAAGGACATTAATCTCGACACTTGTCTGCCCATCTGCAGCTGTTGAAAACACCTCCGACTTGGAGGTCGGTAGAGTCGTGTTTCTTGGGATGATCTTAGTCATGACGCCACCAAGAGTCTCCAAACCCAGTGATAGTGGTGTCACATCCAAGAGCACAATGTCACTGACATCTCCAGCTAATACACCAGCCTGGAATGAAGCGAAAAAAGATATCGTCAATACAATAATAGCAACAGAAAACACAAAAAAAATAAAAAATAAAAACCAATAACTTCACAACAATAGTGTTATAACAATGGACATAACATGTCACCAAATTGAAGAAAGAAATCATAGAGACCGACCTGAACTGCAGCTCCAAGGGCAACAACTTCATCAGGATTAACTGTAACATTTGGTTCCTTCCCTGTCACCTTTCTTACAAGCTCCTGCACAGCTGGTATACGTGTTGAACCACCAACAAGTATCACCTCATCTATATCTTTCCAGGCAAGCTTTGCATCCCTCAAGGCGGTTTCAACTGGTGTTCTAAGCCTAAAATATCAACAAAATTATAAGTTTACTTTAGAATCAAACATATACATTATGGCATCAAAGCGGATACATTGAAATTAGCAACCAAAAAAGCTACAGCCAAATATGCAGATATCCACAATCTCAATTGCAAATTGAAACAAAGGTCCACACCTGTCGAGCAGATCTGAGCACAACTCCTCAAACTTCGCCCTTGTAAGAGTTGTCTCAATGTGCTTCGGCCCATCTGCAGTTGCAGTAATGAAAGGCAGACTGGAACATAACAATTATCACCGATAAAACATTGTTAGGAATGAAAACAGCCCAGACAGATGATCACAAGAGAATACTCAACAGCTGAAAAATGCTTCAGAATAATGAAGGTTCTCAGATATTGGCAACATACCTAATGTTAGTCTGAGTCAAAGTTGACAACTCCATCTTGGCTTTCTCAGCTGTCTCTGTCAGCCGCTGAAGAGCCTGTTTATCCTTTAACAGGTCTATTCCTTCATTGCTTTTGAAGTCCGCAGCAAGCCAGTCAACAATCCTCTGCAAAATAACAACATAATCAAAACCATATCACTATTTAGGCCTCCAAACTAAAACTAAAAGGAATAAAGTTTTTAAATATAAAATGTTTAAGAACACGTTTGGATGTGTTTCTAAAATGACTGAAAGCGCTTTTAGAGAAAATATTTTTGGGTTCCTAAAGCACTTATGTGCTTCTTCCAGGAAGCACCAGTTATGTGCTTCTTCCAGGAAGCACTTTAAGTGCTTTTCCAAGAT